TCTCAACTCTAGTTGGTTTTTCTTGAGAAACATAAACCACGAGCCCAGAGACACGGCTGCCAGCGTATCGTCAAAGACGAGATTCACTAGAAGCAGGTGCAGAATCATCCCACAACATTAACACTGTCGGCTCTGATAACAAACACACCTCGCCACACCTGAGCAATCACAATCCACTCCTTTTACTTCACACTTATACTCAGGAACATGCCAGCTTATGAAAGGGTTCTGAATGTCGTTTCATAAATACTGCACTGCAAACAAATGGAATGCATTGATACCGTGAGTGAAGCAGCCAGCGCTGGGCTCTCTCAGATGTGTGTAGACAGTCGAGGGTTTGATCTGGGTCACATGAACGCTGCTTTCCTGTTCGCAGTAAGTCTGGTTGAGGGTTTCAGGGTGGAAAGCCCACTACTGTGATATGACTCTGCAGTCTCAGGTGCACAGATACCTGTCAGTCAGCCTTCCTTATAGCAAGATGATGTGTAATCACTGGCTTGAACTGAAGAATGACTCGCATTTGGGTTTAAAATACAATTCATATTCAGTGATATTAGTGATTTGACTATCAGATGAGAACAAAAAACTGAATTGAGCTGATTGTTTCATGATTAATGAACTTTGCAACATTTACACGATTGTTGAGCTGAGTAATGACACTATTATCGTCTTAAATTTAGCTGAAAATGTGCTCACCATCAGACCATTCCAGATTAGGATGAGTTTGTTTCTTCATCAGATTTGGAGAAATGTAGCATTGCATCAGTGTCTCAGCAATGGATGCTCTGCAGTGAATGGGTGCCGTCAGAATGAGAGTCCAAACAGCTGATAAAAACATCACAATAATCCACAAGTAATCCACTCCACTCCAGTCCAGCTGCGTATTTATAAAAAACAAATCCATCATTAAGAGTTTTTACCTACAATCTGAGTCCATAATCCATAACAACGCTTCCTCCAGTGTAAAAGTGCATCTCCTGTTGTCTCTCACATCAAAATCCAGCCACATATTTGTTTAACTTTTTTTTTTCTTTACAGTGCAGCTGTTTGGACTCTCATTCTGACGGCACCCATTCACTGCAGAGCATCCGTTGCTGAGACACTGATGCAGTGCTACATTTCTCCAAATCTGATGAAGAAACAAACTCATCCTAATCTTGGATTTTGCACTCGGAGAGAAATTTGATTTGTGAAATGTAGCTTTATTAAGGTCCTTCTCAATGACGTTCTTCTGTCAAGTGTGTTTATTATCTCAAGGATTGTGGAATTCCATTTTTATTGGTCATATTTGTGCAATCATCAGTCCATTCATGTCGTGCACAGCTGCCACGGTCCGTCTCCAGATATCAGCGGACCATCTCATCTTGTGTGTGTTGACCCATATCCGTTGTAACGCTCAGCGTATCTCCTCTCTTGTGCGAGGTGCTGGTTGCCATGGTTTCGATGGTATTGGCGGATGCTTTCAGTTAGCTAATCCTGCTCGATGCTCTCCAAACCCTGAGATGAATGCACTTGATGCCAGATGCAGCTGGCCCTGCATTCAGTCCTGCACATACACGGGCCCATCGACTCAATAGAGCAGCTAGTCAAGCGCGGACCGGGTCCGAGCCGCGGCGCCTGCTCATCTCAGCTGTGAGTATAAACATCAGCACTCATCACAGATGGGCAGGGATGTTATTTGAGGAGCGTGCTTGCTTTGGACAGCACATCATTTGAAATGTGAAACATAACATCTAACTGTTATAAACTATTAAACTTCAGTGAATAATAAAAAAATTTGATAAACTGCATAGCAACTCTCTGGAAATGTTGCATGGGCAAACATCACTGGCATTTTCTTTAGGAAATATAAAAAATGTAGTTTAAAATAATACATTAATATGTTTAGACATGGTAAAATTCTACAAATAAAATTTTAAATATGGTTTAGATATAGAATTATACCATGTTTTGTTTTTGTTTTAATCTGGTTTAAGTTTAAAAGGATTAATTTAGTTTAAAGTAATACATTAATATGGTTTAATTGTAGAAATAAAATATAAATTCAATACATAAAAATAAATAATTCTGAAAAAGTGAATTTTTATGAGTAGCTATGAATTTACATATATATATATATATATGCATGTCGAATGTACAAATAAAGGCTTGATTTAGTTTAAAATAATACATGAATATGTTTAGCATGGTATAATTCTATAAATTAAATTATTAAAATAAAAATGTTTTAATAAAAAAAGACATTTTGAGTGAAAAAGTGATTTTGTTTTTGGGGATCTGTGAATTGACATGCATGTGTGCACAAATTCATTTATCTGCTTAGATTTACATTTTTGTCTTTCTTGGTCTGTTTTAATTTGGTTTGAGTTTAAAATGCTTCATTTAGTTTGAAATAATACAGTAATCTATATACCATGGTATAATTCTATAAATAAAAATGATCAAATACATTAAATTATTGTGCTTATTTTGTAAATTTATTTTATTTTATATCGAGTAAGTTACCAAATGACTGAAACAAAGTATTGTGGACTGTCTGGTCACTGGTGAAGACAACATGATGAAAACGTTAGTAAACCCCCCACGCAGGGTTAACTTCTCACACACAGCTCTATTCATTGTGGGGTTAAACTGATTGACATGCCTCTTTGAGCGTCTGTGCTTGTGTTCCACTGACATGATGCTGCTGTCTCGTCTGCTGCTCCCAGAAATACAGCACTAAACCTCCACAATCACAGCAGACCTGCTTCATTTAGCAAAGCCGGAATGTTTAAAACTAGGTTTAATGTTGCTGGATGAGGAATGTGTAATGTAATCTTCACCACTTTGCAATATTATCTGCCATTTAGCTGGCAATATGAAGCATTCGCAACCCATTTTGCTTCTGTATTGTGACGTATTTATGAGCGAATCAGGATATCCAACGAGAAAAAAAAAAAAAACGAGAGGAACTTGATTTTATCCATTTGATTGGATTGTGAAGCGTGTCTGTAAATAGAAGTTTGGCTCTCAGTTCTGGCCTAGATTGATGTCAGCTGGAAAGCACTTCTTATTCCTTTTCAGAAATATTCCCAGCAAACAAAAACATTCTGCTAACGTTCTGAAAACCTTATTTCTGCATGTTTTTTCTTTGTTATGCAAACGTTAAGGGAAATTGCATCATCATGAGATGTTTTTTGAATGTTGCTACTTGCTTGGAACATTCAAAAGTAACATTTAAAAAAACATTAGATGAACGTTTCAGAAAAACCATTAATGGCGTATAAATAACGTTAACGTTTTGAGAACATTATTAAGACCAGATAACTTTGAAGTAACGTTCACGAAAGAACGTTTGTTCATAACTTTGAGAGAGTCTTGCAATCTGAGCTGGATAATAGCTTATTTTTCTGTTATTGCGATTTCTTGGAAACAACAAAATACATGAAAACAGATGTTACACTTTGATGAAAGATGAAAACATTTTTGTTTGCGCTTTGATGATTCGTTCACAGTCAGACCATGAGACGAGAACGTAAATGGGGTGGATTTAGATTTTGTGTGTTGACTTTAATGTCAGTGTTTACCTGGACTCATTTTCATGTGTAAATGCCAGTTTCACTGTCAACACCTGAGGACAGATATATCACACATATGAATCATCAGGCTGCTGTTTGTTCATATTAATCTCTCCCCTGGTGTGGTTTCTGCACCGCAGTGACCTCAAAAAAACACCAGTTAAAGGGCCGAGGTGCAGCTTCTGTTTTCCCGCCACAACACCAAATGTCGCGCTTCCTCCTCTTTAGTGCCCCCTGAAAGTCCTGTTCACACCTCCAGCCAGAAGCCATTTGCTTCGCTTCAGTTCTGATTATGGCTCATTCAGTTTTAGATTATCCAAGGTGTCAGCTCTCCAAATCTAAAATGGATTTAGGAAGTGCTAACACTGCCTTTACACCAGCGTGCTGTTTTAACAAACTCAAGGTGAAAAAAGAAACCGGATTATTGCTTTTGAAAGCATATCAATATGTCATGCGTTATCTCAAATAAGAGCCATTTTTGCCATACGAGGGGGATGTGGGATCAATAAATAGGTATAAACTCAAATTGTGTATTTAATTTCAGTTTACTGTATCATTTATCTTAACAGCCATTTGCAGTTTCTCAATAAAATAGTGTGGCGGCCCAGATATGTTGACAGAAATACATCTGTAAATATATTTCGAAATATACAAAAAAATATTATTTTACTAAAATATTTTTCAAATTTTATTTACCTAAATATACTTTCTACCATTATGTTTTCTGGCCATTTAAAAAAAATATATATTTAAAAATATATAAATATGCTTTAAAACCGCAAGATTGCAAATATGTTTTCTCGCCTCTAAAATACATTGTGGTATGTGAAGGTTGAAACGAAATACATTTTAAATAAAAAAATTTTTATACATATTTCAATACATATTTAGCGTGTATTTAAAATATATTTGGTTGATGATTTTTTTTTAGCAGTGTTGTTTATATTTTTACATAACATAGCATGGTTTTGAATGGTTACCATATTTATTCACACTCATATTTGCATGATATTCCAATGAATATCATGGTACTGTGATACCTAAACAGCTTGGTAATACCAGGGTACTTTTGTCAGTGTGCTCTAGTCTTTTTTTTTTTTTTTACGTGCCTAGCTGTTATCATTCTGTAACATTTTAAATTGATCCGAAGAAATTTTAAAGCGAATCTGAGTTTCTGCAATCGCGATTATACCGCTGAACGTTTTGCGTAAAACAAAAAAATACACAGTATTCCATGGCTTCCTGTTGCCATTCTTTTAAAACCTGGGTAGGGTGTGCAGGGAAGAGAGGTTTGGCTTTAGTGTTAAAAGTGTTTTCATTGGCCACCGAATATGTCAATCAAACGCTCCTGGAACCCTATTGGCCAGTTCGGTGGGTCTATCGCTCCATTTCGCACTGTTTCTCAGTCCATCTGTCTTTAACCGTGCGTCGTCTCATTCCGCGCGTTAGTCTAGTGCGGCGCAATTTACAGCAAAATCCTACTCATATTACGATAAAGTTAGATATACTGTTGCCCGCATTATTTCGCAGTGTATTTGTGTTGGGTGTATGGTAAATATCAAAGTAATCGCGTCATACACCCAGTCCTAGTTTTCTGGGCGTTTGAAATCGGACACCGCTATAACGTCTCCCCTCCGCGCGGAGGGATACACTGTTGGGGCTGACAATGTGGACGGTGCTAAAATGTCTCCTCGGAAAATGAGATGTTACATTTGTAGCGCTCGAAAAAATTAGATTAGAACTTTAGGCAGAGCTACATTTGAGCGCAGTTACATTGTAACAACTCTCGACGTGGACTGTTCGCGTTTCCCGAGAAATTGGACGCGTTTTGCACCGTGAATTAGCGGGACCTGAGGCGCGGAGGGGGGGGGAATTTTGTCCCCCAACTTTTCTGTTTTTCCTCTCGGGCTGAAGCGCGTTTCTCTCCCGCTGGATGCCGCGCGCTTGACGCGAGGAACGGTGAGTATTTACCGCGTTTATCGGGTTTTACACGCGTAAACGTGCTCGTTTTTGACTTTAACGCGTCTGTTGTGATTAATTAACTTTTGTTGCACGGGCAAATGTGTGTGAAGTGTTTTGTCTCTGAGCTTCGGTGTGTGTGCGGGGTTCGAGTCCAGAGGAAACGGCTTCTTTGTTCAATAATTGGCAACAATGTCAAGTTTAAAACCCCCCGTATAGCTCATTTTTACCACAGTAACTGCGTGTTTACAACTTTACAGAACATCTGCTGCCTCTGTCGCTTGTATATTTGCTGCAATTCGGGTATTTAAAGTTTTTGATGGTTATAACAGATAAAAGTTTACACTGGGGTTAAATGAAGTCATCTGTGAAGTACAGTTGAAGCATTTTACATTTGTTGTGTTTGGAGTTTCCTGCTAATTGCAGTTCTTCTAATGGCCTGGTCTGCTTATTTGACTTTTCTTGGGAAATAACTTTTCCTTTTTCACTTTTGGGAATGGCTTTCCCATCTTTTCCTCTCTGGAAAACTTGTGGAGGTGTTTACGTACTCTTATTATCTCTATTCTCCCATATGGAGTGTTTCTTGTCGTTGTTGTGTAGTTTTCAAACTTTGTGTCGAGGACCGTGTGTTTCTTTGTGTTGGAGAGGTTGGGGGTGGGGGGGTCTAGGGTGAACGTGGCCTGAAGTCTTCATGTGTTTCGGCCTGTTGCTGATCATGCTTGTTGAGTCCTATGGGTTATTTTCACCTTTTGGATGTTGGATCTATAATGCTGCATTTGCACTTGTTGTAGAAGCTTGACGCTAAGAAGTACTATGGTAACACCATGGTGCAGTGATATCACATGGAGCTTATATATATATATGTATGTGTGTGTGTGTGTGTGTGTATGTATATATATATATATATATATATATATACATGTATAGATGTGTGTTCATCATGTGGTGTTTACATTGTGTTCTTTTAAAAATATTGCATGTATTTTCATGCTACAAGTAAACAAATCAATAGAAATGTCATGACAAATGTCCAAAATGACTCCTAATGATGGTCATACACTGGTGCCATGTAACATTAATGTCAAAAACATCTATTCATGCTAAAATACATGCCCAAAAACATTATTTTACCCACTGTTTTGAAATGTATATCCTAAAATTCCATGGTATTTACACTGTATTTTCAAACATGGTGTAGTACTTTTGGATTTTATGCCCAGTGTTATTTGCCCTCAATGGTATTTCCATTGCAGATGCTACTGTTCAAGCATTTAGGTAAAATCAGGTATTTTTTAAAGGAATAATACTTTTCATCAAGGATGCATCAAAAGTGACAGTAAAGACATTTATAATGTTACAAAATATTCAACTTCTAATAAATGCATATACAGCTGTGAATCCTGAAAAATAAAATGTATCACAGTTATTACAAAAATATTGGGCAGCACAACTGTTTTCAACTTTGATAATAATCAGAAATGCAGCAAATCAGCATATTAGAATGATTTCTGAAGATCATGTGACACTGAAGACTGGCGAAATGATGCTGAAAATACAGCTGCGCATCACAGAAATACATTACAGTTTAACATTCACATATAAAACAATTATTTGAAATTGTAATATTTCACAATTTTACTGATTTTACTATGTTTTTGAACAAATAAATGGAGCCTTGGTGAGGCTGCATTTAAAAACATCACAGTATAATCATACTACATGCTCAAAACCATGGTATTTCCATGCTACATGCCCCAAGCACTTTTTTGTCAGTGTAAACTGTGCATCCCAAAAGTGAAAGTAAAGCCATTATTGTGCTGGCTTCATTGCAGCATTTGTGATCTTTAATATTTCACAATCATCTACCTGTTGAGGTGCTGATTATGATTCCAGTGAAGGTGTTGTTGGAGCAGTGCTGATGACAAAAGTATTTTTGGTTAAGGCTTCTCACTTTTCTTGTGTCTGTGTAAAGCAGTGCTGATGTTTAATGAGTTGCTTCACGAATTAAGGAAAAGTGTAAAATCGCAGTGCTTTGTTTGCTCTGTTTGGTTCTGCGTGACATTTGTCTTCTGAAAGCTGCCAATTTTTTTTTCCTTCAATATTTCGGATTGAAAAGCATGTATTGCATAGAAATTAAAACAATGTTCTGTATAAGAGCTTGCATGCCTATTATCTATTAAAAAATGTTTCATGTATAGACATAAACTTGATATTTCACGCTATGGAAATGTTACACATGCATTGTTTGATTCCAGGAATCATGGTTATTTCTTGTGCAACTAACTAGTTCCCATACTCTAGGTGTGGGTAAGCGGGTGTTTTTTTCTCGAGCGCTGGACTGGAGACTCGCTGGTGGTCTCTTTTGGTGGTTAACCGAGTTCAGATGTGGTGCATTCTGGGAAAACACTCTTACAGCAGGTCTGTGATGTAGAGTAGTTCTTCAGATGGAAGCGGCAGTCGGATTATTTTGGATCATATGCATTCACGTCAGATTTGATTACTAGACCCAGAGTTCATAGATGATCTGAAAGCATGCTTGTCCATTATGCATCTCATTCCCTGCAGGATCATAAACCTGTTTGAGCTGAAAGAGACGTCGAGCGAGAGAAGCAGATCAAGAACACACAGGATCAGGATCAGGATGGCGACAGCGGGGACCGACATGGAGCTGAACGACCTGCTGGATTTCAGTGTTGTAAGTCAAAGAGACTCTTCTGCTGGTTTTAATAACAGATGTTTATGGATAGTTGACATCAAATGTCAAGCAGTGTGACATGCAATAAACTGTGCTGTGTTGTGACTGTGTTGTATGGTAGTCATAACTAAAGGCTGTTGTTAGGCCACACATGGCTTTTATTATATTGTACCTTTTTTACTTCATAATTTATATATAATTTATAGTTATAGACACAAAATGAAAACAAAATATATAATATAAAAATTGAAAATGTATATGCAAATATATGTATATATTAATGTTTTTGTGTGTGAACATATATACCCGTGTTACTAAGATACTATTATAGTTTTTGTTAATATTTTGAAAAGAGATTTTATACTTTTTTTTTTTTTTATATATATATATATATATTTTCAATTTGAATTTGAATTTTCGTTAAAGTTTGGGTAATTATGTTTTTTTTGTTGTTGTTTTTTTCGATTTTGTCTATATGATCATTTATTATTTTTCAAGTTTTACCTAATTTTAGTATATGTTAAACTAAATGAAAATGAGATGTTGCCTGGCATTTTTTAAAATATTTTATTTTATTCAGTTAACATTTTTGTTTCAAGTGTATTTTTTTTATGTTTTGGTTTTGAATAACCATAATACCCCTAAATATAAACTTTCCTTAATTTGTTAATGTTTATTAATTGGTTTACTTAATAGATTTATTATAAAAACTTATAATTAAATTATAACAATAAAATTGTAAAATTATATATATTATTTTTATTTTAATTATATTATACTCTTTAATTAAACAAAAATTGAATTTACACTTAATTTTAACCTGGGAAAAAAATAATATAAAACATAAATAATAGACAATGACCCTAAGCACACAGCTAAAATAACGAAGGAGTGGCTTCTCAACAACTCTGTGACTGTTCTTGAATGGCCCAGCCAGAGCCCTGACTTAAACCCAATTGAGCATCTCTGGAGAGACCTAAAAATGGCTGTCCACCAACGTTTACCATCCAACCTGACAGAACTGGAGTGGATCTGCAAGAGGGAATGGCAGAGGATCCCCAAATCCATGTGTGAAAAACTTGTTGCATCTTTCCCAATAAGACTCATGGCTGTATTAGATCAAATGGGTGCTTCTACTAAATACTGAGCAGAGGGTCTGAATACTTAGGACCATGTTATATTTCAGTTTTTCTTTTTTAATAAATTTGCAAAAATGTCAACAATTCTGTGTTTTTCTGTCAATATGGGGTGCTGTGTGTACATTAATGAGGAAAAAAAATTAACTTAAATGATTTTAGCAAATGGCTGCAATATAACAAAGAGTGAAAAATTTAAGGGGGTCTGAATACTTTCCGTACCCACTGTATGTAATATGCATATAATGTTTTTATTTTTTTATTTTTTTTGAAGCAATGGTGTGTATTTTCTCTGCTTATTTTTTCTCTCTTTGGTAGATGTTTCCTCATCCGATGTCAAACGGGAAGAACCGAGGCCCTACTTTACCCAGCAGTCAGTATGGTAGGCAATTTAAATTCGCTCACTTTGACTTTTATTACTACTCTGGTTATAGAAACGACTGATTCAGGATACAGAGAAAATGATATAATCTGCAGATGGCTTTCACGCTTTTGGAAAATGGATTTTAACATGGTAAATCCCACATGCAGAACTTTCTTGCGCTGCACACGTGTCGATGTCGTTAGAGTCTGAGTGTTTGCGAAGCCTGTTTGATCCTCGTCATTCTGATCCGTCCTGCTCTCGCTGTTTCATGTTCTCAGCTGTCGACCCTCCATCACGGGGGAGGAGGGGATGATGGGAAATGATAGTCGTCCTCTCACCCCTGCGAACAATGTCAACAAACATTAAAACAACACGCAAAACAGCCCCCCGCTAACTGCACCGTCTCACCCAAATTGGAGTCTCTCTTCATTAGAGACGTCCAGAAATTGCATTTTTTTTAATTGAAATCGAGAGGTTTTTGGTTGAATCTCCCAAAACTGAATATGTTCGGGTGACTTTTAACCATTTACAGTTTAACTAAATCAAACTTTAATTCAGAAGGAAGCAGTGTTAATTTCGTTGACGAATACTTTACGTCATAATAGCATAACGAAATTTTTTTCACTGACGACGACGATAACGAACTAAAACTCTTTTTGAATGACAAAAACTATGACGTAAATCTATTGACATTTTCATCAACGAATAAAAACGAGACGAAAATTTTAGGAAGGAATGAGATTCATTCAGAACGAATCTGCTGCGTGGTTCGGAGGTTATATGCGTACATATGAACCGGTGGGACATAAGCTAACATACACTTGCTGCACGTC